AATACAGTTTTCAACCCAGAGTTTGGTTAAAGTGACTTTAATACCATACATATATGCTATAACAATGTGGTATAAGAACTGAAGTCGTCGTCAATCCAAGATTGGATTTGACCGAAACCACATCCATACGAAAAAGGAAGTTCTATGCGAAACATATACAACAAAATCACGAGTTGGATATGATTCCACTAAAATAAAAAATTCCATTTTAAATAAAAATAAATTATCTCAGTTGTGGATTTATTTAATAAATAAATAAAGGAATTTACATGCAACATGATAACAAAAAGGTTTTTATTCACACAACAATTTGTGGGGTTCGCATTTTTTGAAGCAAAATAAAAATAAAAATTACGGCACAAAAAACAAATTTATATAACATAACACAATCACTTTTCCTACGACATAACTTTTATAAAACCCATAAATAAATGGGTGAATTCAAATTAATTTATAATTTGTTATGCCATCACTCTTTTAATTTTGAGAAAACTTCAAAAACCCTCTTATAACTTTTCTCATAATCATTTACTTCTTTTCTAAAATTTTGAATCATTTATTTTCCTGACTTAAAGTTTTTTATCACTTGGGTGTAAGTGATAAAAAAAATCTAAATAAGAGTGTAAATGATTCAAAAAAATTGTGAGAGGGGTAAGTGATAATTAAGAAAACTCATATGGGGTTTTTTGAAATTTTTCCTTTAATTTTTTTTAGATTATTTTCTTTCGCTTATAAAGTAAGGGTTATGTTTATCTCATTTTATATGAGATAAATAACTTTCCTACACACACAAAAAAGATTGGGTTCCACCACTCTTTTTTCTCTCTTCTCTTACATGTGGATCCCACTTATACTTTTATTTTTACAACATGAAATAATTTTTTTCCTATATCATAAGAAAAATATATCCCATAAAGTAAACCCTAAGGGGGCGTTTGGTTCAGGAATTTTTTTTGGAATAATAGGGAAATGAGATAGATAAAGAAATGATTGGAAAGATAGATAAAGTGAGATAGGTAGAAAAATGTAAAAAAAAAGTTGTTTGGTGGGGAAAAAATTTACTGGAAAAATTAGATAACTTTATGAAATCAACAGTGCATTAAAAGCCAGATAACCGGTTTTCCGAAAAATCTCACCTTCAAATTGGGTTTCTAAACAGTGCGGATATCTATGTTTCTCATAAATCCAGACAAATTGGATAGATGAGTTTTTGGTGAAAAACGTTGAAACAAACATGATATTTCTAAAAGCCATACTTGAGAAAGATAGATATCCGCTGAAAAGCTCCTAACCAAACACCACCTAAAACCAAAATCCGTGCTGCTGCACAAAGTTGTTTTCGCTTTCTTGAATGAGATCCATCGGGATCGGAGATTATTTCAACATCAAAATTTTTATTTCTTTATTTTATATCTTCTTTTTATGAAAATAAAGAGAAAATGTCATTTTCATATCAAATTTTTTTACACTTTCTTCTTATTTTTTTTTTATGAGACAAAAGGAATAGAGACATACATATTTCCCTTTAACATAAAAATGTTAATTAGATTGCATGACTTATCCTTGGAAATAGGTTACACAAGGTATTTTGAAGGTAAGGTTATAAAGTTGAGATATTTTATTCTAGGAGAAAATAGATTAGAAATAAAGAAATGGGACTATAGAATATACTCACGTACAGAAGGTGTAATATAAATATTTAGTCTTATAGAATATTAGATAGCGACGTTAGCGTTCGATGGTGAGGCCATGTGCTCCAACGCGGCGGTTATTTAAAAATGTCATGGCATTTAAGTACAATCATATAATTATTTTTGGAAAATGCTTATACATGTATCCACAGTCAAATATTCTCACATTTTGTAAACTAAAAATTATTACACACACATTAATCACTAGGCCAATTAATAAAAAAGCTTTTCTTCATTTCAATCTCATTTTCTTTTCTTTTACATATTGTTCTGGATAGTCTACTCACATGGGCTCAACCGTTAGACCCAGCCTAAAGAGTCCTCTTCTAGAAGGCAACTTAGGGTTTCCCCTCTTCCCCATGCACACCAGCTGCCCCTACACAAGGGCAGGGGTTCAACATGCCTAGTTTGAAAAGGCTAGGCTGACTAGGTTGACTAGGGCTCTTGCTCTAAATACCCCACCTCACATTGAGGGACAGGACCTCTTCTTCTCCACTTAGCCTCTAGGGCTGTGATCATGGAGAGCCATCTTAGTCACTTCCACATCCCCCCCTTTATGCACCATGGGAAGCTCCACTAGTGCTTGGTCTCTACCATTACCACTATGAACACTCCCTATATCAACATACTTCACCCTCACATGAGACATCTATGTATCAGTTTGAGTACACATATTATCTTTTATGATTCACACATTGATCTAAAGTATTATATTTTATTTATAAAAGTTATCTAGCAGGATAATTTTATTTTTTTCTTAAACATTTTCCTTTCGTTTATGAGTACTGCTACTAAGCACGGAACAACTCCGAGAAGCTGGAAAAAAGGTGTGTTATTTTAAATGACATATTTTATATCTTTTCATTCTTATAAAAAAGTAAGACTCACATTTAAAAAAAAAAATCACTCATTTTCTCTCCTATAATTTATCTCTTTCTTTCATTTAACATGACATAACTTTATGTAGTTTAAAATGCTACACACTTTACCTTTAAAACAAAAATGAGTCCCACTTGTCGGTGGAATATATCAATATTGGACCTACCGTTTTATGCGTATCTGGTCTCATTTGTCACAAAATTTATACGGACAGCATATTATTTTCTTTCATTTATTATAGTAGGAAGCAATTTTTTTTTTCAAAAAATAAAACTTTCTTTCTAATGTAGTTAGCCTGTCATGTAAAATATAAATGAATACATTTATCATGTAATTATTATTATAATTACGGTATTTATCAACATGACAAGATTCACAGCACATAGCTAGTAATATTATTAAAATTGTACAATTGCAATAAAATAAAATTAAAATCCTAATTAAATCATGCTATGACTATGGCCAATATTAAAAGTTACTCATTCAAACAATCCAATGTGATAAACTAAGCGAAATGGACATTCATTCAATTTGTCCCGAATGTTTGTAACGTCCAATGGCACTTAGCTTCCATCAAAAGAGAAAATAGACATAACTCCCATGATTTGATCACTAAAACTCCTGTTATCCTATCAGTGTCTTAGATAAAATTACTTTATTAAAAATCTACATGTTATGTCATTTGAAAGTTCACATTTTGTGGTTTTTTTAATCAAATTTTATATGAGGTAATAAAATTATTAAGCTCCCTTTTATCTAGCAGTTTTAATGATTTGACTAAGAAAAACTAATACCTACTTTGTGATCATGTGTAGGTTTTTTTTATCATTTTTTCTACTATCAATCCACTATTATTCTAATTATTATTGGATCAAATTGTTTTAGCAAAAAATGGGCTGAAGAGAGCCAAAAAAGTTACTGAAAATTTTGATTCAATAATAATTACAGTGATAGTAGATTAGTAATAAAAAAATAATTGTATGAATATCCTACCTCATAAAATATATTAATACATTAATTTTTTTTAAAAGATATAACTTTGTTTCATTCTAAATCTTAACCGTTAATTTTCATTAATCAACAATTATAATTTATTGCGAATAATAAATTATAACTATTAATTGACGAAAATTAACAGTTATGATCTAAAAGGACATAAAATAATATTCTTTAAAAATAGTAGAAAATGTGTGTCATTTTAATGACACACCTTACATATTTTCACTCTCGTAAAGATGTGAGATTTATATTTTTTAAACTTTTTCTCTTTACTCTCTCCCATGATTTATCTCTTTCTATCACTTAAAATGATACAACTTTATATCCTTTAAAATAATATATACTTTTTCTATAAAAAAATAATAATATATACTTTTCTCTTAAAAATATAAATGTGTCATTTTAAATATAACTATTTATTTTCGTCAATCAATTTATTTAATTAATTTCTAAAACTTTCCAGAAGGATGAATGGGTGGATGTCACTACAGATTTACCAGGCTTACCGTCAGATAATGAAAGAGACATTTTTTTTTGGTAGAATGAGACAATTTCAAAATAATATTAAAAAAAAGACAGTAAAAAAACAAATTTGAGGAGTAGTTACTCTGAATGAAGATTAATATTTATGAAATAATTTTATCTTTTACATGTATATATATAAATAAGTGAAGCTATATTTTTTTTTTTATCTTTTTTTCATATAGCTCTACCTCAATTTCATCTCACATATTTTTATATATATATAAAGGGGAAAAAATCTCTTTTCAATTTTTTATTTGTAAATTACATTATGTACTCTTAAAAATACATAGTATAACCTAGTATATTTTCGAGAGTACGTGATATAATTTATAAAAATTTATAAATATAATCCTCTCCGTATAAAAAAAACTCCTAAACATTAATCACCTGAAATAAACCTTTTAACCATTGTGAAAAGCTAACTATGTTCAGGGATGTGTCTTGAATGATACTAACCCCTGCCCCTTCTGTGTCTTGAAGCCGCGTTAAAGCGGGTCCCATGTAACCCAGAGCATCAACTTTTTCCCTTCCAACCTCCAAGCCACGTTGTTCTTAATTATTTTTGTTTCCCTTTTAAACTTTTAAAAAATAATAATATTCTGTAAAATATAACCTTTTTAGAGTTGTAAGCCTCAAAGATTCTGAATTTTGAAAATCCCACCACAAAATCTTCAGGAAACAGCTGGTTTTATGTGACTAGAAGCAACTTATTGTAAGGGTTTGAACTTTGTGAAGTTTCATAAACTTTTTTATTTTATTTTGTGGGGTCCTCTTTTTTTCCCATGTAAATGACAGCCTAATCAACAGCCTGGCCTGGAAAAGGGTGTTTGCATTGCAGCCACACTAAAAAGCTCACAACTTGATGTGATTTCAGTTATGGGATTCACGTAATCTAAACTGGGTCTCATTCTGTTTCAGATTTTCTTTCATCACTGTTCACTTTTGTAGCAGGTTATTCACATTTTGCTTCCTCCACATCCACAACCTAAAAAGAAAAGAAAAGGTAATACTCCAATATAACTCCCTCTTTTGAATGTACTTGCGTCACATAATTCTAGCTAACTAGATTTAAGACCCTTGTTGGGAGCAAAGTGTTGTGTGTTTTTGTGTTGTGTTCTGAGTACTGACGTTAGAATCATGGTATTTTGTCTGTTGCTTGTAACAGAAATGTCTGGTTTTGTGCATTGAATTTGATAGATCCGAGGTTGGTGCAGGTTTTTTTTTTGTGTGGCTTGGGATTGGAAGTTAAGGGTGTTGCTTACAATCTGTTAATGGATTGGTGAAGACTAGGGAAACTATGATGGTGATGATGAAACTTGGAAAGTGGGTTTCCTTTGTTTTTGTTGCTTTTATGTTTTTGGTGAATGGGTCGTTTGCCGCATATACTCCTTCTGATAATTATCTAATAGCTTGTGGTTCCTCCCAAAACATCACCTTCCAAGATCGAACTTTTGTTCCTGATTCACAGCATTCTTCACTTGTGTTGAAAACCGGGAATTCTATTGTTGCTAGTTCCAATTCTAGTGTCCCATTCCCAATCTACCAATCAGCTAGGATTTTCACTGAGAAAGCTTCTTATAGATTTGAAATTGAGCAAGGTCGGCACTGGGTTAGGCTATATTTTTCTCCTCTTTCCAACTCTGGCCATAATTTGAGTTCTGCTGTTTTAACAGTGGTTACTGATGATTTTGTTCTCTTGAGAAACTTCACATTTAAGAACTACAATGGTTCTTATATGTTCCGGGAGTATGCCATCAATGTTACCTCTGAAACCTTGACTGTTACCTTCATTCCTTCAAATGGTTCAGTTGCCTTTGTTAATGCAATTGAAGTTGTGTCAATGCCAGATGACTTGTTTGTTGATCAGGCATATGCTCTTAACCCATCAGCCCCATTCAGTGGCCTTTCTGAACTTGCTTTTGAAACTGTTTACCGTTTAAACATAGGAGGTCCCTTGCTCACTGCCCAAAATGATACCCTTGGAAGGAATTGGGAGAATGATCTGAAATACCTCCATGTGAACAGCTCAGTTATTGATGTGTCAGTCAACCCTTCCAGCATTAAGTATCGGGCAGGTGTTACGCCGCAGACTGCCCCGAATTGGGTCTATTCCACGGCTGAAGCAATGGGGGATGCAAATGTTGCCAATTCAAATTTCAACATTACTTGGGTCTTTACTGTGGATCCAAACTTCTCCTATTTTATTCGGGTGCACTTTTGTGATATTATTAGCATGTCACTCAACACTTTAGTGTTCAATTTATTCATAAATTCTGACATTGCTCTTGGAAGCCTTGACCTCTCATCCATAACTGGGGATTTGGCTGTGCCTTACTATAAGGACTTTGTTTCCAATGCTTCAGCAGACACTTTGACAATAAGTGTTGGTCCTGATACAATGGCAGACATCACAAATGCCTCCATGAATGGACTGGAGATAATGAAAATCAGCAATGCATTGAAGAGCTTGGATGGACTTTCTTCAGTTGAGACTCTCCTTCCTAGTTCTTCATCAAACAAGAACATGGTAGGAATAATAGTTGGTTCTGTTGTTGGGGCTGTGGTTGCCATAGCTTTGGTTGGTTTGTGTTATTGCTGCTTGTTGAGATGCAAGTCAAAGTCTACTCAACAAGGCCATACATGGCTTCCTTTACCTTTATACGGAAACTCCCAGACCATGACAAAAATGTCAACAACTTCGCAGAAGAGTGGAACTGCAAGCTGCATTTCTTTAGCTTCATCAAACCATGGACGGTTCTTAACTTTCCAAGAAATCCTAGATGCAACCAACAAATTTGATGAGAAGCTGCTTCTTGGCGTTGGTGGTTTTGGCAGGGTTTATAAAGGAACACTTGAAGATGGAACCAATGTAGCTGTTAAAAGGGGGAACCCTAGATCTGAACAAGGTCTTGCTGAATTCCGAACAGAAATTGAAATGTTATCCAAGCTTCGCCATCGTCATCTTGTGTCTCTCATTGGTTATTGTGATGAGAGGTCGGAAATGATTCTTGTGTATGAATACATGGCTAATGGACCCCTCAGGAGTCATTTGTATGGAACAGACCTACCACCTCTATCGTGGAAGCAGAGGCTTGAAATTTGCATTGGAGCAGCAAGAGGTCTTCATTATCTCCACACTGGTGCATCTCAAAGCATAATTCACCGAGATGTAAAGACAACAAACATCCTCTTAGATGATAACTTTGTTGCTAAAGTTGCTGACTTTGGCCTTTCCAAAACTGGTCCTGCTCTTGATCAGACACATGTGAGCACTGCTGTTAAAGGTAGTTTTGGTTATCTTGATCCTGAATACTTCAGAAGGCAACAACTTACGGAGAAATCGGATGTTTATTCATTTGGAGTAGTTTTAATGGAAGTGTTGTGCACAAGACCAGCCTTGAACCCTGTCCTTCCTAGGGAGCAGGTTAATATAGCTGAGTGGGCAATGAGCTGGCAGAAAAAAGGGATGCTTGATCAAATCATGGATCAAAATCTGGTAGGGATTGTCAATCCTGCTTCTCTTAAGAAGTTTGGAGAGACAGCTGAGAAATGCTTGGCTGAGTATGGAGTGGATAGGCCATCTATGGGAGATGTTTTGTGGAATCTTGAATATGCTTTGCAGCTCCAAGAGACCTCATCAGCACTTATGGAACCTGAAGATAACAGCACAAACCACATTACTGGGATTCAGTTAACTCGTCTCGAGCCGTTTGATAACAGTGTGAGTATGATTGATGGGGTAAACTCTGCCACGGATGATGATGCAGAAGATGCTGCTACAAGTGCAGTGTTCTCCCAATTGGTAAATCCTCGTGGAAGATGAGTCCTTGATTCTGGCCATAGGCCATTAAGTACAGTGGCTGTTCTGGCCTTGGACTAATTGAAAAGTCCTGATTGATGAATGATGGTTATTTTCCATTTTGTTATTGCTTTTGTAAACCATTTTTTTTTTTTTTACCAGTAAGCAAGTCACTATGTAATTTAGTTGAGTGGTACTTATGTGTGCCAATTAGCTGGGTAGAAATTTTATGTAATGTACCCATAAGTTTCTGTTGTACTTTGTATAAGTGAATTAGGAGTTCAGCTCCACTAGTTGTTCTTACACGTTAAATAAAAGTTCTTTAGAAAATGACTAAACTATACAGCTAGTAAGGTACTGCTTCGGATAAATTGACTTGATTTCCTTTCCCCGTTTTTAGTAATTCTCGATCGAGAATCTGTTCTGCTCTTTTCATATGGCTGCTAAATAGACTTATTTAAAACACTGAATTTATTGTGTAAATATGTAAGTATGATACCGGTGAGAGAAATGTGATATAAAATATAAGAATATTGATGTGTTTTCACCTAACAATTTAAGCTATTGGGTTGAATTAGTATTTTATATAATATCTTTTTAGCATAGGTAGGTGGGGCTTGTGCATTGTCTACCCTTCAAATCCAATGGACTCTTTTATGAATGGGCGTGTTAAAGAAATATGATATAAAATATAAGACCATTAATGTGTCTTTACTTAATAGCTTAAGCTTTTGGATTGTGTGCTTTAACCCAATAAATTGAAATTGATGAAAACTATTGTAAGATGTAAAACAAAGAGTTTATTGAATTGATATATTCGATTTACACTTATAGGAGATATTTATACAAGAGTAAATGAGAAAAAATAGATAAGAATGACTCGGCAATGAGTCATCAGTCCTATCCTAAAATTCAAAATTCAAAATCCTATTAAAGAAAAAATTAAACACTAATTAATAGGAAACAAAAGCGGAAAGATTTGAAACTAATTTCCTACGCTCCCCTTAAGTTGGGAGGTAAATGTTGATCATTCCCAACTTGCCAATCAAGTCTTCAAAGGCTGGACTATGTAGGCCCTTAGTGAGGATATCTGCAGTCTGCTCTTTGGTAGGAATATACATTATACTTACACTTCTATCATCTAATTTTTCTTTGACAAAGTGGCGATCAACTTCCACATGCTTTGTTCGATCATGGTGAACTTCAATGCTAACAGTTGCCTTGTTGTCACAATATAGTTTTTGTAAAGAACTAATTCAACCCAAAAGCTTAAGCTATTGGGTGAGGCTACATTAATGATTTTATATATCTCAACACGCCCCCTCACACGAGAGCCCATTGGGCTTGAAGAGTGGACAATGCACAAGCCCACCTACCTATGCGAAGAAAGAAATTCCACTAGAAAGAAAGTGGGAGGCGGTGAGGATCGAACCCGGTACACTGAGGCTCAGATACCATGTAAAGAACCAATTCAACCCAAAAACTTAAGCTATTGGGTGAGGCTACATTAATGGTTTTATATATCTCAACAGTTTTATTAGTAGGGAATATAAAATCTTCAATTCTTCAAGAAGCCTTCTCAACTAGATTCCCTCACAAACTCCATGAGCTAAAGCTCGAAATTCTACTTCAGCATTACTTCTTGCGACTAATGTTTGTTTTTTGCTTCTCCAAGTTACAAGATTTTCCCGCACATAGGTGCAATAGCTTGAGGTAGATCTCATGTCCACTGATGAACCTGTCCAATCTGCATTAATGTAGATTTCAATTATCATATTATACCTTTTCTAAAGAATAATCCTCTGTCTGGAGTGTTCTTAAGGTATCTAAGCATCCTATAGACTGCAATTAGATGTTTCTCCTTGGGTGAGTGCATGAATTGACTAATCATACTCACCGCAAAGGCAATGTCAGGTCGCGTGTGGGATAAGTAAATTAGTTTGCCAGCCAATCTCTGATATTGCTCTTTGTCCATCTCGTTCCCATCTTCAATACCTAACTTGGTGTTAGGTTCCACATGCGTCTCGGCAGGATTACATCCTAACATTTCTGTTTCCAGCAAAAGATCTAGAACATACTTCTTTTGTGTGAGAGTGATGCCAGTTTTGTGTAAGAACCCGCACCGTTAATTAAGAAAGTTAATTAATTAATTATGAGAAATTAGGAAATAATTCTATAATTGACTCTAATAATTATATTGGCTTAAATAATTATGGTAAGCGTGAAATAATACTGAAAGTCGCTTTTCTGACGAAAAGTACAGATACCGGTTCTGCTACTCGGTATAAATGCGTACCGATGAAGTATCCCGGAAAATTATGAAAAGTGTGTATATGTCACTAGAATATTATGTAGGACTAGTATGTCAAGTTTCAAGTCAAAATAATAAGAACTGGTGCCAGAACTGATACTGGCTATGGAAAAGCGCGTACCGGAAAGGTGCTGCGAAAAATAAAATAAAAATATGAAAAATCTTAGAAAAATGAGTAGGTTCAGAACCCTAAGTTTGAGATTAAAATGCTAAGCGTAGCTATTAGCGCTAATACAGTGCGATTAAGACTTAAGTGGCCTATAAATAGCCTTGACACATGATCCTAGGTCATTTTTATGCTTTGCTACGTGAGATTTCTGAAGAGAGGAGTCAGCCACCTTGCCCTCCTCTTCCACCTCCATTGAAGCTCCAAAGGAGCACCTTTTCTTCATCTTCCTTCACCTAAACACCTTGGGTGAGTGTGAATCATCATTGTGAGTGAGAAAGGAGCACCATTTCTGAGTTTGGGTTCTGTTTGATGAGGGTTTTTGTGCTGAGTTTGAGAGTTGGGTTGGTTAAGGCCATTGTCATGGCATCTTAGGCTTCAAGAAGCCACCTTTGAATGTAAAGGACCCACCTTGTGTTGCATTTTCGTGGTTCCTTAAAGTCAGCACCTTGGAGGCTGATTGGTGAGCTCCAAGAGCATCATCCACCTCTGTTTTAAGCTTGGGTAAGCCTTACCACCCATGAACTTGAGTTTCCTTAGCTAAAAATGAATCCTTGATGCATGTAATGGATTAAAATTGATAACTTAAGGTTGGGTAAGGTTAAACACACCTTAAAATACATGTTTAAGCCTCTGTAATCGTGAAAAGAACCACCTTTGGGAAAGATATCTCGCTAAATGCAGAACTGCATTCTGTCGCGAAATATCCAGATATGGATATCCGGATATTGATATCCGGATATGAGGTTCTGAGTATCCGGATAATGATATCTGGATATTTCCAGACAAATATTCGGATATTGATATCCGGATATGCCCCCGACATATATCCGGATATTTTGGGTTTTCGAGGAACAGTAACGGTACTGTTCATACAGGTTATGGGTTTGTGGACCCTAGATTGTGGAAGTTGAACTTCTGTAATAACTTATTTAAGTCAGAATCAAGTGATTAAGGGCTTGTGGCTTTGTGAAAAGCCTTAAGACATGAAACGTAAGGAAAGACGTTGTCTTTATGTCGTATAATTGTTAAGTATGATTATTGATATGATGATTGGTCCAAAACAGATTGTGATTCTGCTGTGTTTGGACTTTGAGCTTGTGTGGACTCTTGGCTTGGATAGCTAGCTTGCAAGGTAAGCTTTCGTGTCCTCGGCTTAGCCATTCTTTGTTCCACCATGTCCCATGGGGGGATGGTTATATGCATGATGTGTTTTCATGTACTGTTTTATTTAAATGCTATGGAGCTGTTAAATGCAAAATGCTTATGATATGTATGTGGTGTTTCGCCTAGCCAGGAAGCCATGGGGTGGTCCTGGGGGCGGGTACAGCATGGACTGGTACTGTGTGGGTAATAGACGTATTCCTGCACTTCTCTGATCAGTAGAATAGTTATAACACACATGACATGATTATCTGCTGCATTGCACTATTTTGGAACTTATACTGTGTAACTGCTTTTGGAACTTATATTGCACATGTAAGTGAGCTTGGGGTGGAAGATCATTGAGGACCCCTTGTCTTACTGAGATTTCTTGTTTAGAGATCTCACCCCACGTTTGGGGACGCTTATTTCAGGTTCAGGTAACCCTGGGGCGGATGCCTCTAATGGCAGGAGGCCAGAGCTTAGTTGACTATTTTATGTTGTATGCTGACATGACATGATATTGGATGCTGTTTATGTTTTCTGTCATGCTTATGTTATTTGATTTGAGACTCTTGTTGGGCGTGTTGCCTTATTTGGCAAGCATGGGGTTTGTCCATGCCGCTTTGATGTTAGTACCTTTTAGCTTGAGTTGTATAAACTATCAGGGTTGTCCGGTCTACGTGTTGTAGTTCCATGACTAGAGACACATTTATGCTATTTATATATTGAGGTATTTCAGTTAGCTGTCATTTGCAATTTACATACAGGCGATGTTTTATGAAATGAATTAAGTAATTCAACTTGGCTAATGATAATGACGTCATAATTGAAAAGAAAAAGATATTCCGCATTTTTATATTAAGCGTGGCTTAATACGATGATATGATAACAAACCGGATATATACAGAGTGTTACATTTTGCTCCTAGCAACTTCCATACCAAGAAAATATTTAAGAGCTCCAAGGTCCTTAAGCTCGAATTGAGCTGCTAGATACCCTTTCAAGGAGCTCAATTCCTCATTGTCGTCACCTGTGAGAACTATATCAACTACGTAAACAATAAGAATAGCAATTTTTTCATCCTTAGAGTGTTTGTGGAAGAGTGTGATCAGTTTGTGCTTGAATGAAACATCTTCCTTTGACAGCTTGTGTGAATTTGTCGAACCATTCTCTAGGAGACTGTTTCAACCCATAGAGAGACTTTTTTAGTTTACACACTGATCCATTTCCCTTTTCAAAGCCAGCTGGAGGATCCATATAGACCTATTCATGTAAATCACCATTTAGGAATGCATTTTTTACATCTAGCTGTTGCAGAGGCCAATCTAGGTTGGCAACAAGTGATAAAAGTACTCAGATGGTATTGACCTTAGTAACTGGAGCAAAAGACTCATGGTAATCTATCCCATGAGTTTGGCGAAACCTTTCGCAACCAATCTTGCATTGTATCTGTTGATGCTATTATCTGCATTGAATTTTATTGTAAACACTCATTTGCATACTACTTCCTGTTTTCCCTTTGGTAAAGTCACTGTCTCCCAAGTTCCATTTCTTTCTAGTGCATTCATTTCTTCAAAGACAACATCTTTCCATTTGGGATCTTTGAGGGCCTCATGTATATTTTTCGGTATCTTTGTACTATCCAACGTAGTGTTGAAAGCACGGAATCCTGGGGACAACTTTACATATGAAATATGATTAGAAATAGGATGAGTAGTACAAGACCGAGTACCTTTTCTAAGAGCAATAGGCAAGTTTAGATCAATTTTGTCATGGCACTCAAGTGTCGGGGTGCTGGAACTAGAACTTGGTTCAGAATTCTGGCAGTGTAGAGGCTCTGAGTTATTCATACTTTGAAGAAGCTTTCGCCTGCTATAAACTTGTCCCCATTTTGAGAAGGCTCCCCCTGTCTCAGATGGTGAAGGTACTGTAGCTCCCCCTGTCTCCATTAGTAGAGGTAACACTATGGTATCAGTAGGTTCCTATGACTGATCTTCATCTGCTCCTATAGACTCCTCCTAAAGAGAAGTCAAGGAAAAAAAAGGTGACATCCATAGAGACAAAGACCTTACGAAGATGGGGAATAACATTTATATCCCTTTTGAGTGGGAGAGTATCCAACGAATACACACTTGTGAGATTTATGATCAAGTTTGGATTATTAGTGTAATGGAATATGGACAAACACAACACATCCGAACAATTTTGGAGGAATAAAGACATAGAACTTAGAGATGGATAGCTTTTTAAAAAACTCGATAGTGGAGAGTAAAACTGAAGTACACGGGAAGACATTCAGTTGATAAGGTAGGTGGCAGTTAGAATGGCTCCCCCCCCCCCCCAAATATTTAGGGACATTCATGCTGAACATAAGAGTACGAGCAACTTCAAGAATGTATCTATTCTTTCTTTCTGCTACACCATTCTATTGAGGAGTATCAGGACATGAACTCTGATGAAGGATGCCTTGATGAGACAAATATTCACCAAGGACAGAATTGAAATACTCTTTACCATTGTCTGTCTGCAGAATTTTTGTGGAGGTAACAAATTGGTTTTGAACCATGACATGAAATTTTTTAAAAACTTGGACAATATCAAACTTTTCTTTGAGAAGATAGACCCAACACGCTCGAGAATAGTCATCAATGAATGTTACAAACCATCTCGAGCCAGAAATATTTTTGACACGAGATGGACCCCATATATAACTGTGAACAAGAGTAAAAGGGGATGATTCTTTATAATTCCTAATAGGATAGGATACTCGAGAGTATTTTGCTAACTGACAGATGTCATAAGAAAAGTCACTAGGTTTTTTATGGATAAAGATATTTGGTAACAATTTTTTAAGGTAACTTAAATTTGGGTTCCTAAACCTTCGGTGCCACAACATAATATCATTACAAGAATCAAATTTATGAGTTAAACATACAAAAGATTACACTTTTTTTTTTTGGTACATAAAGATTACACTTTTTATTCTATAGGAAATTTGGGTATAAAAACACACCTTTTTTTTTTGCCACAGACTCACAACTCACAATTATTTTCTCAGAATTAAACTTTCGTTCAGGCTAGTAGATCAATGGAAACTGTCAAATTTATCTTCTGCAAACTATACCATTACCACTGTTGGCACCACCAGTGCAATCCATCATCCCAGATTCCATGACTGAGTCTTCCTTCTCTGAAGCTTTAGCAGGAGAGAATATACAAGCACCACAGTCTGCAGAAACAAGTGAGGTAGTTCTATACTTGTGTTCCCCTCCAACTACTGGCATTGCCACACCTAGCTTTGCTGGATTTTGAAAATCTGGCTGATAGGTTCTGCCAAGAACTCCTTCAACTTTGGATGTTAGACCATAGAATTTGAACTGCACCTCCAAGTGAGCAAAACAATCATCATCAGGGATCTGATAGTTATGGATTCTACTATCCTCCTTGGTGATAGGAACCACATTGACAGATATCTCAGCAACTTCTGGGAGAATAACCATAACACTGTTCTTGGTTGATGTTCTCTCTACTCTAAGTTGATTTTCTTGGCATTGCCATTTAGAGAGGTGACCTTCTGGGATGACAAGTTCCTTTCCATCATAAGAGAGCTTCAAATGGTCAACTTCATCATCCCAAATTGATGATGGGGTGGCCTCAATAGAAAATTTGTGGGAATCAAAGAGGATTCCCAGTGCTTGAATCCAAGTATAGTCCCTTGTTCTCCCTACTGGCCTAAGGCCAATAAAACGGGCATTGATTTGAAGGTTGATATCAGATACTAAGCTGAAATGCTCATTGCGCCTTCCATGGAAGTAGAAAACAATGCCATCTGCTCCGACAAAGCGGGGGTCCAAGCATGCGGATCCACGGCCATTGCAATTTGGTTTCCGCCCTGTTATTATCAAATACAGAATATGTCAGAGATATAATATAAATCATTTATATGTTTTTAGCTAACAGCTACTCCTTAAGCCTGTGGGAAAATTGGTTGTCGCTGGTCGGAGTGTAAATAGGCTAGGCTAGGCTTTGGCTTAAATAGGCCAGGCCTGTGTAAAAAATTTGGATATGACCTGGCTTATTGGCCTGTGTAGACCCCAAATTATAAATTTGATCTGACTTATATTTAAAACATAAAAGCATTGACTTAGGTCTGTTAACCTGTTTAAGCCTATGAAACATTCAAGAATTAAAAGAATAACTAAAACAATATTATTTTATTATTCAAAATTATTAAAATAATAATTTTATTTATTATATTTTAAATAAATAATATGATATAAGCCGGCCTGTAGGCTTATAGGCCCGACATGTACTAAAAAGTCTGTGGCCTGTTTTCTAAATAGATTTTTTTAAAAGCCTAGGCCTGTTCTATTTTACTATCTATAATAGGCCAAACTTGACCTAATATAGGCTAGAGCCGTAGACTCCTGTAAGCCGGCCTAGCCCATTTACACCCCTAGTTGCTAGGGTGATGTCACCCAAAAGAATGTGCTAAATGAATATGCAGTTTTTATATACTTTTTGAAGTCATGTTACTGAACATAAAAATGATCTTACTTTTGCATTGAGTTTTGCATATGGGAGAATCACAATCAAGATAGCAGACTTTGGCTTTTGGGTTAGTTGGATATGTTGAAGGGCACTCAGCAGGGCATGGTATTTTCTTGAGAAAACATGGGCTCCAACGGTTGGTGCAGGTTTGAGTTTCTGCATTAATATGCATCACATAGAATGCAAATAACAGCAGGACAAATGTTAAGCCATTGCTACTTGAGACATCCATGACTTTCCTCTTTGATAGACATGGAGATCAATGTAACCTCGCCTTATATACTCTCTTTGGCTTCATTATGTTAACAGAAAACTTAGCAAGTAGTCATTTTTCTACTATATTTTGACATTCAGGACACCACTTGTTTTGTGGCTCAATTCCATGAACGTGTCAGGGATGATTTCTTGAAATCTTTGTGGCATCTTTTGAATTGTCAACTACATTATAGTAGAGCAAATGGTAGTAGTTGACCTTGTGCTTTCCAGCGATGACAAAAGCTTCACGAGCAGCTTATATCTTGAGAGGGGCTTATTGACCTGTATTTAGTGCAGTCCAGCCATGAGAGACGTAGGCAACTTTCCAAAATGGTATATTATTATTATTATTATTTGTAAATTGGGGTGTGCATGAAAATGTTTAATTTTTTTATTTTCAATCTGGAGAATATAAATTGTTAGAAATAATGTTTAATAAAATTAATTTATTATTTTTTCCCCCTAGAATAAACCCGTAGCCCAAAAATACAAATTGACAAAAATAAGAAATAATTGTTTATACATTACTATCTTGCATTTTCTTATTTATTTTTTGTAAAAAAATTATTTCTCATATTTGAATTCGTGACCTTTCAATCACACGTAAGTAACTTATCACTATTCCAAGGCCCCCACTTATCTCAAACGGACAATGTTCATAATTTTGTTTTATGATTTTTTTGGGGCAATTATACTTTTCATGTTGATGCAAAAAGAGTTCTTCCGCAGCAGATATATATTTACTAGGATTCTATCCTGATATTTTTATTTAAAAATAAATTAGTGAATTTTATTTTTTTGTGTCTGTGCAAAATTTTGCTTTATGCCGTAACTGAAAAAAAAAAATTAAACCCTTTTTTTTTGGACCAAAGTCCCTATTGTGATTGTTTGATTGTATTTAATGTCTATTTGTAACCCCCGACCTTTTTCTCCTGTTATTTGAATCATTTCATTTAAGGAAAATAGAAGTGTTATATTAAAGGCTTTAATATTTTTATAGTGAATGTAGATAAGTTATTTACATTTGTTCTCAAAATGATGTTATTTTGAGTTAAAAAATTATATAAAAAAGACTATTATAATATTGAAATAAATTTAATTATAAAAATACATTGATTTCTACCTGAAAACAACGTTATTTTGGACTCAATGTAAATAAATTATTTACATTGACCGTAGACAAAGCAAACCCTATATTAAATGACATAATTTCTTTTTTCTATTCATGTAAAAAGGTGTGAGACCCATTCGATTTTTTTTTATACAATGAAATCCACAATACCTTTGTGTCTATGATATGATACAAAATATGTGATGTAACTTTATATTCATAAGTCACTTTATTTAAAGGCAGAGGCTCTTTTTAGGTGGAGAATTGCGTGAAGTGTGGGGAGATCCAACCTTTTACTTTGAACAGCACAACTCTTTGATGATCAAGGAAATGTGACATTAGTTACAAGCCCACTATGCTCATAACTACGTTATCCACGTGAAAGATTTTTTTTTTTTTTTTTAGAAATATTCCATTCGGTTCATTGCTTCGCAACTAATCCGATTGAGACGGGTTCAGATTAAGATTTTAAACCTCTCTTAAAGGTGGTACTGAAAAAATTCGAACACATACTCTTATCCCCATTTATTTAGCTCCCATGCGTCAATTGAGCTACCATTATTTAGTATTCATGTGAAAGTTTGAAATAGAATTTTGAGAGCAAAAGTGAATGCTTACTTTTTAAAGCAGTTTATTATGATATACATCTCTAACAAATTCATGCTTTTTTTAAATAAAAAAACGAGGTTAAACTTACATATCTAAAGTTTAAGGACAAAACTATTCTTATGTTGCATAAGATATTTTTTTTCTTATACATTTTTCGATAATTGTGCCACATTTTTTTTTCTTTTATTTTTTCAAGTGGTGAAGCTCACAAATTTATCTATATGACATGAGATAACTATCTCATTTAACATGAGATTAATAAAATCTAAAGTTTAAACTAAGTTATTGAAAAAAAAACCTAAAATAAAATGTTAAAATAAAAACTTATATATCTAAAGTTTGTTATCTTTAGTGGCTTGAGTGTATAATATATCTATGTAAATATAATGATGAAGAGTGACGGTCCAAAACTAAATGCTTTTAGATTTATTTTATTAACTAATTGAATTTTTATTTGATTCAACCCTCTTGATTTGACCGAAATTTAATATTGCTTTGGGGTTGTAGCAGATAAAAATAATAATCCCATAATCGAAATATCAATTATTTTCCACTCGAAAGTCATAGACGGGGTCTCAATTTTTTAAATCAATTCTCGATTCAAATCTTGGGCTTTAATTTTTCTATTAAGAAATAGTAACACAACGATTGTAAAATAATAACAATGGGCATGTTTGGTATGATGTATAAAATTTGTTAGTATAAGTTTATATTATACGTTACGATATTTTTAGTTGTTATTTGGTGTGACCATTGTATAGTATAAGTTTATACAACAGATCCCTTTATACATCAAAATGATTTATAACTTAATTAGGCATAGGAGGGTAGAATTAGGCCTGATAAGGGGTTGATGTATTAACCAATGCAATTCTCAATAATTAATATATTATTTTAATATTAGTATATTAAAATAAAAAATAAATTTTTCAATATATAATTTTTTTTTGGTAAGCTAATATATAATTTTTTTAAATATTGGAGATTTTTATTTTTATAAAAATTAATATATTTTTTGGACATACTGATAAACATATTACTATAAAAATATTATCATCTGATATATTTGAAAAAATTATGTAAATTCATTATTAAAAGGTATTTTTGACAAAAATATTTATTTTTACCTATCTAGTATTATACAGTGTATTATCAAATATTGGATGATATTATCTTATACAATATATTATCTTATACAATATCATGCCAACACTGGATAGTATTAAAATTTAATCAGGTGTTATACAATCATGCCTTATACTATCAGGTCTTGTACTATCAGACTTTATCCTATCCTATGTACCAAAATAGTAGGAAAAAATGTGTATTATAATTAATGGATAGAAGCATATGAAGGGAGTACCTCAGGAATGTAACCGTACCAGGGAAAGATATGCTTGTATATTGGTTGTAATCAATGTTGTCAAAATCAAGTTTCTACGTAGAAACGGAAGGGAATAATAGAAACGTAAATCGTAAAAACGACACGAAACATAAAATTTTTACTACTTAAGGTCAAGATCGAAATTATATATATATATATATATATATATGTGTGTGAGGTAGGATTATTTGACACCGGTGTCAAATTTGAAATTTGACATCTAACCTGAGAGCCGTTAGATCAAAAAAGATCAACGATTCTGATTTGTAAGCATGTGACACCATTGATTTTTTTTTATCCAATGGCTCTCAGATGAGGTGTCAAATTTTAAATTTGACACCAGTGTCAAAGGATCCTACCTCTATATATATGTGTGTGTGTGTACATATAAAAAAAATATCACATAAGTCACTACTCAAAATTCAATGAATAACTTCATATTAAAAAGATATAAGTCACATAACTATATAAGACATAAATCTAAAAACACAAAAACAGTTTAACAACGCCAATAACCAAGTTCCACGACATAAAAAGACTAAAGTTTAACAACTCTTAAATGGAAATACAGCGGTCTCATGTGAGATTTTTTTTTTTCAAATAACTAGAAAAAGATACTGTGCATCTGATTTGGGAAAATGAAAATAGGGTTTTATTTTATTTTATTTTACTTTTAAAAATATAAAAATAAAACCAATCATGAGTTAAAAGTTGACCTGGTTTTATTTTTTGGTTTAAGCAAAAACGTAAAAACTTGTGTTTTTACACGTAGTTTTTACCAGTTTTTACTAAGAAAATTTTTTACTTGCGTTTTAAAACATATCACCTTAGTAAAAACGTAAAGAGTGATTTTACACTAGTTTTTAACAACTAATAGTCACTTTATTATCTTCCAGAAAGAGTGCTTTTCTTATTTTTTTTAGAAGAGATTTTTTGGCTATCTTATTACCACTTGAGAAGTGGTCCAGTTTGTAATAATAGTGAGGATAACCACTAGATGAGTGAGTGGGTGTGCTTGATAATTGCAGAAGAATATGGGTTTTTATCGTAGTTATGTTTGGCCGAAATAACTTTTCTACCAATTTCTGTTAGATTCACAAATGTACTCAGTAATGAACTCAGAAAATTATATTTGTGTGTGCATATTTAGTGGTGCGTTTGGGGTTGCGCCCCGAATTTTTTTTTTTAATAAAAATTTGAGACGCATTGAAAAACAAAAAAAAAACACCTTCAACTTAACACAAATCATATGTAGACATGGGCACTATAAATCATCAAATGTCAACTACCGAAATCATCAGTTTCAACCATAAAAAAAAAAATTAATGTTTGCAATTGCAGACATAAAAATATATGTAGGTCCGCCGTTGTGTGTGGTGCTTGTTATTTGTGAGACATATTTACTTACGTAGGATGGAGAGTCCATTATATTCGACAACTCGACTTTATATCATCGTGTTCCTAGCTCTTAGTTTAAAAATTAATGGTCAGGATTTGAATTGAGAAATGAAGTGAAAAAGTGTATACCCCATTCTTGGCATCGAGGGAAAAGAATAGATAATTCGATTATTCCAGTAAAATTCAATCAAATCAGGAAAGTTTAATCAAATTCAGTGAATGAGTAAAATGAACCTAAAGTAATTATATTTGGGTCCTCACACGTCTTCACTATATTTATATAGATCTATTTTGTACATGCAAGCCACCAGTGATAGCCCCTCAGTTTGGTGATAAAAACTTACTAGCTTCTCCACTCAAATGCACCACGTAACTTTTTAGACTGTTGATGATCTCTTAGGTGGTGTTTGGCTGGCCTCTTTACAAAATTTACCTAGGCAAGTGATCATTGGATTCCAGAAAGCCAGTGTTTGGCTGAATAGATTCATACAAAAAGTCACTTTTCTAAAATACATAGCTTTTTCAATTTGTAAGCAAAAAGACAGCTTTTCGCACCGTTACAACAGCGTTTTGCTATGTGGTTTTTTGTAAAACCATGGGTAAACCACTGTTGACTTCATTTTTTTGTAACCAATATACCCTTTGAAAAGGCAAGACAGATAATACGATGCAAGAGATGATGTGTGTGGTCAGCTTAGGGCGTCAGTAGGTTGTATCTGCTCTACCGTTTTGCAAAGGAGTATCCATGGGAAAATTTGCAGCAAAGATTAGAGATACAACGAGGAATGGCACAAGGGTTTGGCTTGGAACCTTTGATAGTGCAGAGTCTGCTGCTTTAGCTTATGACCAAACTGCATTTTCCATGAGAGGCCATAAAGCTGCACTCAATTTTCCAGTCAAAAGGGTAAAAGAATCTTTGCAAGAAATCAAATATGGTTGCTTGCAAGGTTTTTCACCGGCACTTGCACTCAAGGAGTGGAACTGCATCCAAAGAAATTTGTCAACACAACCGGGGTATACAACAAGCCACCTGATCTGGAAGATGTTCAAGCTTGAAAATATCTTTGATTGAGGACAAATGGCATACGATCCACTTTTTTTTTGTTTAGGATAAGGGTATCGGGGATCAAATTGTAATTTTATAACATTTACCTATCTATATTTTTTCCAAAACCAAACATAGGTTTTCAAAATTTGGATATATTTACCTGGTAAAATTTTATCCAACCAAACAACTTTTTTTTTACATTTTCCTATCTATCTCACTTTATCTCACTTTCTTACCATTTTCCTATCAATTCTATTTCCCTAGTTTTCAAAAAATTTCTCCTCAACCAAACGCCACCTTAGGAGCGTTTGGTATCCGGATTAATTTGTCTTTCTCGGGAAATCAAGGTTGGAGAAATTTGAAACCCATGTTTGGTTGACAAAAATGGTAAAGAATCCTGGCAATGATGTAGTATGTGTAAGTAATGGTACGGTCTGTAAGCAAAAAAATCCATAGATTAGATGGAACCTTTTCTTGCCCAGGAAAATGGAAAATTAGGCGCAAAATTATTGACGGAATTGACCTTCCTTTTCATACAGTGTGAAAGCATTTGCAAACAAACCCAGATGTTCATCATTTTCTTCCAATAGTGAAACCACAGACGCGCCCAGATGTCGATCAGCTTCTTTGAAAAAGTATGTCTTTGTTCTCACAACAAACCCAGAGCTTTCGTTGTTTTCTTCCAATAGTGAAAAATATAATATTTGCTAACATAACGTACGACTGGGGTTATTTTCGTAAAATAACCTCATATTCTCACAAATATATCACAACCAACCAAACACACACTTAGTAAATTTATTCATAATTTTCCGAGAAAATTTGATCCTTCTAAACACCTTTTTTATAATATTCCAACAAAAATATATTTTTCACTATATTCCAATAATATTTATTTTCTGGATCAATAAAAATTTCTTTTATACCAAACCCTCTTAAAGTAATGTACATTACGATACAAATTAAAGTAAAAATTGGGCCATGTTCTCGTACACAAAAAGTTGGGCCTCTAGGTGAGAATTTGGCACGTGATGGATGATTGACACTTTGTTTGGGCTGAGAATAATTGTCTGGGTAACCAAACAAAAGCCTTAAACCTTAAACTTTGTTCCAATCAACCCAGGAGCAGCACAATAATCCTAGAAGAAAGAATATGCTTACAAATATTGGACCAAACAATGATTTGATGTTACCAATTTAGAATTTGGGAAGTTTGCTATTTATTAAAAAGATTTCAAAAAATTAATAGCAAAACAAATAAATAAATAAAGAATTTAATATTTCTCATCTTCTACAAAGTATATTGGGCGCACGTAAAATTGAGGGGAGGATAGAAAAAAAAAACATAAATCTCACACATTTTCATGTGGGTAAAAGATAAAATATTAATGGAGAAAATATTTATTATTTTAAATAATATAATTTATATTATTTTTCATGAAATTATTGTATTCTGATGCATATTTAGTGGGTTTATATTCTCTATTTTAAAAAATTAAGAGGAGAAAAATATAAAAATATTGTGAAGGAAAGAGACTTAATAGAGGTGTCAAACTTGGCTGAAGCCCATGGGCTAATCCTTAAAGTTTATTTTTAATTTATTAAGATCTTTTTGTGATAAGGACTTTTTCGGCCTTAATTCTCAAAACTCTATAATTTAGCGGGTCGAGTTAGGGTTGGCCGCCGGCCAAGCTTTTCTTTAATAAAAATTTTCATTATTTAAAAATATAAAAAAATATAAATATAAATTTAATATTTATAAAATAAATTATAAACATAATGTAAGTAAAGAATAAAATTTTCAGGGGTGATATATTCCAACAGAAAATTTCATCCGCGCATCAATAAAAAAAAATTCTATTGATGTCTAATCATGTTGTATATCTAAATTTTCACCGAAACATATTGTGTACAATGCACTTTGGTAATTTTATGAATAATAATAAGTAAAAATATTTTTATAACAGTAGTGATCGAAGAAAATTAATGATTTAAATTTTAAATATATAACATATTAAGAACAATTATTCGTACTAAGATCATTTTTTTATAGCTACTTTTGGTTTTCTGCTAGAGTTACTTTATTCTGTTACGACTATCGATGAGAAAATATTCATTTAATGACATCCTTTAATAACGAATTTAGTAAAGGAAGTAATTAAATTTTCGCTTATATTAAAATTTGTTTACATTTTCACTTGAATATTTGTGTACAAATACTATTTTATTAAAAAAAATTAAATTACAATTTTTTTTTTAAAATATACAAAATATTTTAAGAAAGTGTTAAATATTTATTTGTTAAAATAAATTTTAATATATTTAATATGATTAAAAAATAAAATTTTATAAAATTATAATTTTGAATTTTCGATAGGCTAGCCCCGTTCCATAGAATTTTTGGTTGATATAAACCTTATTATTAAGTGTCATTTACTTTTTTATCTAACTTATGCGGACTATTGCCTAATGGAGGGGAATATGGGGATTACCCATTTTAATTTTTAACAGGTAGTGTCCTTCGCAAACATTTTTTTCCAACATTAATCCATAAAAATTACCTCGTTGGTCTTGTTTTGTTGTTTTCCTTTTTTCTCGTATATTCTTGTGCTTCGCAGTTCGCACTCTGAAACTCAGAATCAATCATCACCGAAACATGGCGGCGTGGACTGCTGTGGCTCGACAAGCCACCAATATGGGTCGGCTCTCTGCACCAAAAGCGGTTTCCCTCGTTCATCGGCGTGGCATGGCTGGCGGTGGTGGTATTTTGATTTTCCCTTTCTTATTCGGCACTTTGGTTATGGTTCCATTGGTTAAAAGGGTTATCCGTTTTTATAATTCGTTACTGAAAAGTTCAAATCTTTTTTCAAATTTGGAAAATGGGCATCGGAATATTGCAAATACGTTACCTTTTTAGCATTTCGTAATATAAAGTTGGGCACTTAGGAGATTCTAAAATAAAAATAAAATAAAACGCATAGCTTCATAATCTTGTGATATGTTCATGATTTAATTGTCTCCATCTGAAGGATATGGTAAGAACAACTATTCTTGAAAGAATGGAGTATTTTTTTTTTTTTTTTAACTCCTTTATAATGACCACACTTGTATAGTATCATCTTGCATTAACATGCAGTACTGCAGCTCAATCCAAGTCTATGCTCCTCCGAAGATCCAAAATCATAATTGTATAGTTGTTGCATCTTATGTTCTGGTATAATACTATATATTTGAGTGTGATCCTAGTTGTGGAAAAGAAAAAGGGAGTGTCTGACTTTTCTAATCTGTGCCATGTTGAGTTATATTCATGATGTTTTAGTAAGACGTTGCAATTTAGGCTGTAGTTTGTGGGAAGAACATTTTATTTTACAGTTTGCTGTGCCATTGAGGTATTATGAGATGGTACTTGAATGGAACGGCAACGGTCTTATGATGGTGCAACAAGAAGGAAAGTTCACTGATTGTTAGTTTGCTAATGTGCTTTGTTAGGCTATGGAACTTAATGTGCTGAAAATTGGTTAAGAATGAATATAAACCACTGATACAAGTGGAGTGATTAATGAAGTGAAATATTTGTCCTATCTTTATTGAAGAATCACTTGCGTGTATTACTTTGACATGTTGCAGATCCTCATGGACCTCCAAAGGTGAACTTTTGGCAGGACCCGATGAGTCCATCTAAGTGGAAAGAAGAACATGTGAGTCACTTTAGGTTTATATGAAGCTCTCTCATATGTTAGTTTAAGATCTTCCAGATTGACCACATTTTGATGCTGTGTCATTTTGGTATTAGTAAGAAAATTCTGGCGTTGCGTCATTTTAGTATCTTCTTTGCATGTTTGCTTTTTCTTTTTGAGGAAGACCTGTGACTGAAACCAGTCTCTCTGTACAAGTTTATATTGACATTGATATTTAAGGGAACTTGCTCCTGTAGAACAGCGGGCACAGACACACTTTTCTGATATAATTCTATATACATACACAAAGTGGGATAGAAAAGAACATAAACTCAGTTTTTTTAGTTCACTATGTTGATAAAAGTGATTTGCAATTGAACTACTAGTGAGGATGGGGATTGAGAAATGCCATTTGGGAACATTTTGGTCACCTCATGACTTCATAGACATGCTTCTCTGAGTTTTGGTCATGCTAAAGTATTGAAATTCTCTTCTGCTGTTGCAGTTTGTGATTGTTTCGTTGACGGGATGGGGTGTACTCTTCTATAGTGGTTACAAGTTCTTCACTAGAGGCAAGGACAAGAAGGAAGAGGTACATAAGTTTACCTTTATTGGAAATTTGATGAGTTTTATGGCCACTTTGTACACTCTGGATTAGCAGGGGACATACACCGGCTTTTTTATTTTTTTGGGTTTTACTTGATAAAGCTCATACTTGTTTCGTTTTATATGTTTATGTACATGTACTGCCTTCTTCTCATGATTTTACTTAATAAAGCTCATGCTTCTTTTCATTTTATACGTTTATGTAGTAAGCAATAGAAGCCAAGATGGCTTTCTGCTTGCTACGTCCAAAATCTCTATCTTTTAACTGGCTTTGATATTGCTAAGCTTTTATTTTCTCTCTTCAGTTCATTCTAGTTATTAAGCTCTATTACAGTTCATTAGGTTCTTCGATTAGTTAAAAAAGCAAGATGCTTGATAAGGCTACATGCATATACTATCCATGTATCATTCACAAGTCTTATTTTTGGATATTCTTTGTGCATCATAAGTACTTGCTTAGATGACTGTAACTTTACCGGATGACTTTTTTTTGCATCTTAAAATATGTATGGAACTCTTACAAATTCTTTTGCCATGTCTTACTGCAGAACGTTGTAGCATCAGACAAGGCTTGAGGTTGTTATCAGTTATAACATCTTCCAATAAGCTGCCCTACTTGATTTTAGGTCACCGGGTTTTGATTTTTATCTTTGTAATGAGACATGCCAGTTCTGGTTAGTTTTAGTGGCTTTTGCATGACTCCTAAAGCAATGGTTTAGGAATAATTTTACACCTTTTGGAATTCTACGACTGCTATGGTATTTTCATACTTATGCATATCATCATCTCTGGTAATATTTCAGCATTTTGTGGGATACAAGCCTGCCTTCTAATAAATTAAACCATTTTGTGATATGGTTCTATTACTTTTCTCATTTAGAAGTTGTCCAGCACCAACTTCTGGCTCCTGAGTTTTGAGAAGTTGCCATAGATAGAGGCAAAAAGAAAGAAAAAAGTGTCCTCATAACATGAAATTCGTTGACTAATTTTAAGTGGTTGTTGGAATATATATGAAATTCGATGGGTTGTTTTGGCTTTTGAGATAGAGAGAAAGTGGAGATCCATATATAACTCCCTGTATGTACAGTTTAAGATTGTTAAAAAGGGTGTACCAAAAAAAAAAAAAGATTGTTAAAAAGAAGAGTTAAATTATGGTTTCTTCATTCTTAAATCATCAACCTCGTCCCTCTCATCAACTGTGTTGCTAATTGAGAAGTACTAAGCACGCTAAGCATTAATTATTAAAAAGTGCTCAGCATAAATTATAGTAGAGGAGATGAGGCTCCATCTCGAAAGTGTGCTAGTCTAACATGTGTCAATTTAATGAGTTAAAAGAATTTTTAAAGCATGAAAAAGTAAAATGGACCATTCTTCTTCATTAAATGTTGGGGAAAATATACACATTTATATTCTTTTAAGAGAGATAAAAGAACAAACTTGGAGAAGAGAAAGTGGAGAGAAAAATTTGTAATTTAAAATTTAAAAAAACACACTACATTCATATAAAAGGACCATCCTTTTAAATGACAAACAATAAATTCTAAATGTTGACATCCATCCGCTGTTCTTAGTGCATATATTCCAATAAATAATATATATTTTTTATTTCAGATTACGAAAATGTATAATATATTAATGTTGTCTAATAAGTGACTTATGTAAGGGTTTTCTTTTTCCTATTTTAACCCTGTAAATCTGAAAGGTATATAACTAGTATTGATGAATACCTTCCATCTTAGACAAGTTTTTTTTCACTTTTCCAGCACATCCTTGACAATGAATAGCAACCCGCATCACAACCAATTGCATTTAACACCCTTCGTACTAATAACATTTGAAATATGATAAGAGTACAAGTGAATTATATGACATTTTCTTGTCCCTTTTGAAATTTAGTTTTCACAATGTTTATATCACATGCTATCTTTAATAGATTTGAATATGAGATAAAATTATTCCAAGACAATTTAAAATAGGCTATGCCACCGTATGACTCAAAGACAATCCAATTTTTTTTTTCTCTTTCTATTTTTCAGCATGCCAAAATAAATTAATACTCTTATTTAATTATTATGTTTTCATTAATTAATAAATGGGATTTGCATCCATCATGCAATAGGGAAAATATGGAGTTTTCTACACTCAACATTTTATGGGCCCAATATTTTTTGAAGCAAAAAAAAAAAAAAAAAAAAATTTAAAGCACGAGAGTACGAATCTTTATAACATAATCACTCCACTTTTCTTACAACATAACTCTTATAATATCCTCCTTTGTTGGTAGTATTATCCTCATCTCATTATTATCTTCTTGATTTAATATTCAAACAAAGAAGAAGAAACGAGAAGCAGAGAGAAAATGAAAGGTGAGACAATGACACATCTTCAGCATGGACAAAAATGTGGCTAGAGTTTTTCGTCTGCCAAATGCAAAGTCCAGGCAGCCAAAACTATAAGAAGAATGCATTAAAAACTAATCAGAATTGAGATGCAATTGGGACAAGCAAGATGGAATATTAAATTGGAATGACTTGTGAACTCTGCACAAGGAAAATCAGAAGAAAACAAATTATAGCTAAAATGGGTTCAGCACTGAAAAATGAAAAAATAAATAAAAAAATCAACAAATGTATCAGAAACACAAGAAAGGAGTTGTAGCCTTGGATGTGACTTGTCTCCAATATCTGCATTTTACTTTAATTTTGGAATAATTAATGAGAAGCACAATTGAAAATTGACTATTATAATTTATAGGATGTTTGAGTAGGATTTTTTGTTTTTTTGTGTGTGTGTTTGGTGTTGTAATTGTTAGATATGTTGGGCTGTTTTCAATTGTTGATTTTGTGGGTCTTGTTTCTTGTTTTCTTATGATGAGAGAAGGGCTTCCTGGATGGTCAGTTTGTGCAACTTCAGCTGCTACGAGATGAGAACAACCCTGAGTTTGTGTTTGAAGTGGCGTCTCTTCTTTGAAGTTTCTGAGAGGCTTCTCAAAGATCTGACCTTTGCTCTGTGAGTAGTAGTATACTTTGTTTCCCTTCCCTCATCTGTTAGAATAGAATGCTGTTGGAAAAGTGCATAATCTTCAATGTTATTGGGATTTTTCCTGTGCAGAGATCAGAAAGTTTGTGCCATTAAACTCTGTTTGGCCTCCACCTGCAATGCTTGTGTAGATATTGGTTCCCGAACAAGTAGAGGTTTTATTCTCTAAAACTAATTACAGACTAATCAAGCTTAGATCTAAACCTTAATAAGGAGAAACCAAGAGGGTAAGACCACTTTTTTCACTGCTAAATAAGCTGTCTTTTCTTGGTTTGCTGAGACAAATTTGTATGTCTGATCCACAGTGTAGTGGTAATTATTACATTCATGGCTATGATGCCTTGTTTTCTGCTATTACTATATATATCTTATGTATTCATGGTATCATGACTTTGATCAGAGAAAAAGTTTTTTATTTTTTATTTTGCCCACTTTCATTTTTGATTGCTTCTCACTTCCCCTATATGATTTCAGTTTCTTGATTTCTATTTTATGTGATGAAAAGATGCCGTTTGATCATCATTCTCATAACCTGTTGTGCTATGTTTGATCTTTCTACTGCAACGCCACTGCAAAGTTTGAAACCTTTTGCAAAATGAGTAAATACCGTTTTTGGTTGGACAAATTTCACGATGCCTGCTTTAGTCCCTATCAAATAAAAAGGATATTCGTGGTCCTTAAAAAATTCAAAATGAACCCATTTAGTTGAAATCGTGGTCCCTTACAAATTCAAAAAAGATCCACATTAGTTCCTCAAAAGGACTAAAATAGGTTCATTTTAAATTTCTTAAGGACTACGAATAGCCTTTTTACTTGCTAGGGACTAAAACGAATATCGTAAACAGTAACAACTGAAAATGGTATTTACTCTCGCAAAATACTAGTTGTAACACTGGAGAATGTTTCAAAATACTTCAGTTGATAACTACTTGATAACTACTTCAGTTGATAACTACTAGGCTATGGTCTCTATTTTTGGCGCCTCTGTCTTGTTATTGTTATTTGGTTCACTTTGCTATTACTTCGGAGCTCGCATGTCCAAGGGAACTTCTCAAAACAATGGCTCTTTGCAAGTAAATTGTCATCAGATAGTTCTGGTACTTGTAGAATCTTTACATTCCAAGAGTTATATTATTTACTGTGATTGATGTGGACGTCGTGACCTACAGACATAATTTAAGTGACATGAAAGAAAACAATAGTTAATTTTGTTAAGTAAATGGTTAGTTATATTATGTACTGTGATTGGATAAATTAATAGGTTTTATAATTCTCATTTAACATGATAATTTGAATTTTCTTACACACACTTCGGTTTCCGTGCCAACATGGATCCTACACATAATTTTTTATAACATACGGGGTAATCAATGCTATTAGCTATAAAACACTGACACTTCAAAATTCTTGACGTGTCGTGTCCGACACTTCTCGACACTCTCAGACATTCCGACACTCCAACACGCGTTATAGGAATTGAAAAAAAGGTTCAAATATTGCGTTGCATTGAGTTTTTAGTTCTAACTATTAGATTGGTTGTATTACGATTACCATTTTATTGAGTTTAATATAAATATTTGATATATCTTACGTTTCTTTGCAAAATTTATGAATATTATAAGATTAGATTCATTTTTTTGTTAAATTATTGAATATTAAATATAATATTCACTACATAAATTAAAAATATTATTTAATATCAAAACGTGTTCTAATGTGTCAAAATCTAACATTTTTTTAAATTAACGTGTTGGAGTATCGTGTCATATCGTGTCACGTGTGGGTATATGTGCTAGATACACTATTAGTATAGCCACTATAAATGCACAATTGGCGTGAAAGTAGATAAAAACCAATCAAATCAAATTCTCCACTCATACAATATGAGAACAGATTAGCCAAAGAGTCGCGCATAGGCTGAGAAAAAAGGTGGCATTAGGAATGGAAAAGTAATTAAGCATTAGAAATGAAAAAGTTATTAAGAGAATAGGTGTAAGATATGCTCGTAGAAGAGAGCAAATTAGTTCAGATTCATTAGTCATTTCCCATGGATCGTCATTGCTTTCATCAATGTCAATGTCAATAGCACACTGCTGAAAAAAGGGAGCAACTCAGCTGGCACGGCCCTCTATTCAAGGAATGAAAGAGGCAAAAAGAGCATAGTTGAGAGTGACCACTGTTTTAGGCTCAGAATGAAAACCAAATAAGAGAGTAAAATAATTCCTGAACAGTTTAATCAAGATATGAATTGGGGGAAATTATGTTTTGGTTTGGGCTTATCTAGTGAGGTTTGCTTATATGATAGTTTGTTGTTTCACAAGTTAATACTGGAAAGTCAAAGATAAATATGTAATTTAAGTTCCATGAACTTGGTTCCTTCACGGGCTTGTTTGCAGGTTCTTCTTTTTTCCCCTCATAATTTTCACTAAGTTCGGCTTGTGCTCCAACGTTACTTTTTTCTACTCTAATTAGATGCCTTGCTTCCAATACTTAGGGCGGTGCGTGGGTCAGGTCGGGTCAGGTTTTTGTCCGACTCGACCCAACTTGATTTTTATAGGTCAGGTATTTTGATCTGACCCGCTTTAATTTGATCCAAGTCAGGTCTGACTTGGTTTGGATTTTATTGAACTAGTTCAGAACTTGATCAGATCTGACCTGACTTGGTTTCTGAAGTGGGTCAAATCTGACCTGACCCGTTTTTGACTTGGTTTCCTTACAAAATTTCGTCGAAATTTCTACATTGCAAATGACGAGAATTTCGTCACAAAATTATTTTTTCGTCGGAATACTTTTTGTCGAAAAGCAACGAAATTT